CAGGTTCGGTGGGTCTGGCTTTCGGTGCAGGTGGAGGCATGGCAATAGGTGGTGGTGCAGCTGTGGGTAATGGTGTTGGTGGAATGGGGTTTGGTGTAGGTCCATCGTGTTGGAGGCGTAGCTGACGTTGTTCTTGGGCTCGTTGAGAATCCATGATCAATTGTTGTTGAGCTTGAATAAGTCGAACCGATTCCGCAAGTTGCTGTGTAGTGGAGCCCAGCGCTGCAAGTTCAGGTGAAACGGATGAAGTCGGTGCTGCCGTAGGTGCCGGTGGTGTAGCAGGAGGAGAGGCTTTCGGAGCTGACCGACGTGGTTTGTCCGTTCTCTTGTCAGAGCGAAGCCTGGGAGCCGCCTTAACTGCTGGTGGTGGAGGTTCATCTGGAGGGACCATCGATGCGTCCGTCGGTAGTGGAGGTTGAATGTGGTGAGGTGGGTATGGAGAGCTCTGCAAAGGTGTCGGTGGTGTAGTCGATGTAGGTGGTGTAGTCGATGTAGGTGATGGAGCCGGAGGAGAATGCCAAGTGGGTGGAGCGGTGGGTGCTGTAGGAGTAGAAAAAGTCGGTGGAGCGGTGTGCACCAGAGTGGTTTCAGGAGCCATAGGTGTGGGCATAGTGGGTACAAGTTGTGGGCGTGGTACTGCATGAGGAGTCGAAGTCAATGAGGTGAATGGCAGCGATGTTGGGGCCGAGGCCGACGGCACGAGCGAAGCTGAGGAAGACCATGTAGGATGCAATGGCGAGGGATGTCCGAATAGATGTGCGTTCTGCGATGATTGCGGCCACGTCGAAGATGGAGTCGTAGGCTGCGGTGGAGCAGGCCATGACGTCGGAGGAGTGGTCCACGGGTACATCGCTCAAGAAAAATAATGAAAAATAATGAAAATTCACATACAGGACTCAGTTCCTAAACCTACTGTTCGTGCAATTGTGCCACAACAGGCCCGTGTTCCAGTCAGCCACGAGGGCATAAGACGGCTTTCAAGTTCCATCGAATTAGGTGCACAACATGTTTCACCTCACCAGACAACCAAAAGGAAAAAGACCACACCTGAAAGACGTGTGCCTGCCTGTTCACAGTGTCTTGACATGATTTCGTGTAGCTGCAAAGGTTGCTGCAAAAAACGGAGGTTTCTGGCAGTTCGGCATGGCTTCACTTGACAGAGTGCAAAACACTAGGATCCCTGGGACCACAGGAGCCGCGGGACGTCTTCAAAGGTGCAAAACCGCAAGGCCAACTGTTGCGATTTACTTAGATGAATTACCAGCTTCAAATGTGTTAATTCGGCAGTCAGGTTAGTCGTCACTCACCCTAAAAAGGGTTGCCTCAAATGGCTCCATGGCACCATGTCGGAGCCACCATGGAAATCACACTAGACAAGAATGGATCATTATATGATCCGGCAGGAACTGAATCCTGAAACATGCAAACCAGCCTAGACCATTAGATTTACAGTAGAGACCCTTGTAGTACTTCTCGAAAACGAGGTAGAGCATCCAATGTTGTCAAACGGAGTTTAAACCAGATTTCACAAAGATTGACCAGGATGTTGAAATTCCAAAAAAAAATAATAATAATGATTCGGCAGGAGATTCTCAAAATAATCACAGGAACATCGGCGACATGATCTCGGCGAAATAAGCGAAATACATCGGCGACATGGTTTCGGCGAAATAAGGCAAAAATTCAAAATACTGTCGGCGACATGATTTCGGCGAAAAACTGAGGAAGGTTCTGATGCATGTAAATGTCAAAATTGATTCCAGATTGCGTCAGCCGTGAAGTGAAAATACAGCCGTGCGGTTCTAGGCTTGGCCGCGTGCCATGTCAGTCAAAATTGAAATAGGAGGTACGTGACTCCAGCGTCCCAGAGTCATATCAGTCATGAATGCAGCCCCTCTTCGTTGGGCAATCAGCTGCAAACATGAGATTGCCCCCCTGCAAATGTGAAAAGATTAGAGCAATAGAAGTTTTACATCTGTTCAGATGTTACACACACACACATATATATAATATGATGTAATGTAATGTAATATAATATAATATAAAATGCATATGTATATATATATATGTATATATAATCATGTATATATATATATAAACATATGTATATACATATGTATATATAAACACACACACACATATATATATATATATACATAAACGTGCATATATAAACATATGTGTATATATATATATATATGTATATAAACATATATATATATGTATATATAAACACACACACATATATATATAAGGTGCCCCCGACCCCAAAAACCAACCAATTTAGCGAATTTGGCGGTATTTACATGTTTTTCACGCAGGTATTGCTTAAACTTCAAAACTTAGGGCATTTTTCGGGGGTCAAACAAATGCATTTTTTGGAAACTTGCTGCAATCCCACCCTTCCCATACTACATCGGATGCAAGCTTCAAGATCCAGAAAAACTTCTTGAATCCAAGGGGGCCGGATTCAAGATTCAAGATCCAGAAAAAGGAGGCTGGATCCAAGAAGTTTGTTCGCCTCGAATCTTGAATCTTGAATCCAAAGAGACTGGATCAACGAAGCTTGTTCTGAGGGTTGAATCTTGAATCCAGGTCCGTAGAGCACTGTCAGCCACCATAAATTGCAATTTCTTGAATGCCCAGCTGTTCTGCGAAGGACATGTCCTTTGAGATTTTGTGGTTTTGCAGCCTTTCAATACCATCATTCTATCTAAAAGCAAAAGCAATGTTTCTTTTTGTATTTTTAAAGATATTAAGACTAAAAAGCAAAAAACTGAGGTAACACCAACAAAAACAATGCATGAAGTCCAGGCCAAACATTCTCTGAACAGTTTTTTTGTTGTTTCGAGGTTTTGTTGTAATTCATATCCACATCCTTTAAGAGTAGCAGCAGAGGTTCAACAAGATATTGCATAATATTGCAGATTACTGCATATATCTTAATTAAATGGGCTGGTAAGCAAAGCACACACTTGCAAACATGCAGATCAAATCAGACACCGTGTCTACCCAGCCACCTCTCATGGACATCATCTAGGTGTGCATTTTTTGGTATTCTCATGGTTTGAGCACCCTCTCAGAAAATCACTTAAACCATGGGAAGAACTACAAGACAGACAAGAGTAGAATATAATAAGTACACAAGTTTCAGCATGGACTTTGAAGTTTGCTGTCAAAGCAAACCCTGCAATGTAGGCCTTGTGCAGCAGTATCTTTCAAAGAATATGACATTCCTTGCATGAAGCCGCAGCATTCCTTGCATAAAGTGACATCATTTTGTACAGTCCCCTTACATACAGGAGTGCAGCATGCCTTTGAAAGGAATATAGAGTTATTTTCAAAAAGAGTTACAGCTGTGCGGCTGTGCGAAGCTTTGTTGAAGAGGTAAAGGAAATTCTGGAAGGAGGACAACGCTGCGACAGAATGGAATCCTTTAAATAACCATTTTGACCGACTGTGGTAAAGAAAGTGTCGCTGCAAGTATGTGCAAAGCCTCCTTCACAAGGGAGCGGACCATTTGGTTGAAACCAGGCAATAATACGGAGAAACATTACTATGAAGTAGAACCCTTGGGTGTATGTAGAATTTTTTGATAGATGCAGGTCATGGTTGTATGTGTGCAATATGCCTTTTTTTCAGTGAAACGATTTGTTCCAAAATAGGCAACATTGTTTTGAAGAAAGAAACATGTCATGTGGAAACAATGAGAGGCAGGCCGAAGTTCATTGGATGCGATGCATCTGTCCACATAAAAAGTGCTTTTGTACAAGTTTTTACTGCATCTTATTTAAGGGAATACCTCGTCAGGACAAGGATTTTGAAGAACTTCAGTCTTTCCTTAAAGAATGATCATACAAGAAAAACGAGAAGGCTGAGCTCCATTAAATGTATTTCATCTTTCCACACTTATAGTTTTCTTGCAAGAACAGCGCTTTTCGTTTAAAGGACCATCTTGTCAAGGCATTTTCTTTTAACAATAAGCATTCTTTTTCAAGGAATGCTCCAGCATGCATCGACCATTGCACTTTTTCCACAGCACTACTTTTTTTGTTAATCACACACTGCATATTGTGTAGAAATAAAGGGTGTTTTGAAAGAAATACTGCATGATTGAACGCTGGCTGAACAATTTTCTGGGAAGCCTGCACTTCTTCAGAAAGGAACACTACATGTTTATAGGAATGCTTTATATATTGTAGGGATGCTGCTTCTTTAGATTAAAGGGCTCTACTACTCTACTGTTTTACTTTGTTCTTCACTTTTGTCTACTTTTTAAGCTTTTTGAGAGGGATCTCTCTCTCTCTCTCTATACATTGCGTGCATATGGTTATTTTGGTGGCGTGATTCCAATCTGAAAAGGTGGGCCTTGGGAGGGTGGTAGATTATGTATGTATGTATGCATAGGTCAAACCCAAATGGATAAACCTGCTTGATTTTCTTCGCCCTCCGAGAAAAAAAGGTGACGATTTGCCCAAGTAAAACGGTCGCCATGAAATAGCCCAAAGGACCCTCTGGAGCAAATGCACCAGAACCACCCAGAACCTATGGTTAAGGGATGTTAAAGGTAGACCAGGTAGACCTTGTTTTGGCTGTCGTTGAACTCCTCATTCGAAGGGTCTTCCAAAATTTGACACCCAATGACTCTTTAGGTGCTTCCAATGAACTACCCGCAGCACATTTGGATTTCGGGGCAACATGATGGTCCTGAACCAAGACACCATGGCGGCACTTGGGTGAGACACCCCTGCTGTCATTGCTAGCAGGAGACTCGAACAACAGTTCAACCTCTGGGAGTCCCGATGATGTGCTTGGCCCACCACGGGCCACAAAAGATGCTGGCCACTTGTGTCCATTTTGGAGGACGCCTTCGAGCCCCCTTAGTATTGAACATCCCCCCTTCGAAATTGAGTATTGGATCTGTTCATTTAAGGGGCCAGTTATGGGAGGTAAAATAATATGAGGGGGATGGATTAGTATCGATCAGGGACACCCCCAGCTCAACTCGATGCGGAGGATTCCACATCGTCTACCCGACTGAAAAGACCGTGCTGCGCGAACTCAGCGAAGACTTCTTGTTGCCCCAACTGCCTGAGTTTCTTCCTCAGTAGACATACGGATATGGGCTGCTTGATCCATCTTTCTCTACTTTTTGGCATCCCAAAATCTCGATGCTTTAGACCAAACAATGAGCCAAGATGAGCCAAGGGGGGGTGGGATGGGTTGGGTGTTTTCCATTTCCCATTGCGCACTACCAAGCCAGGTCTGAGTCATCAAAAGTGGCAGCGTGACTAGGCTCGAAACTGGAAAGTTGTGAAGGCATTGGCGAGAACTCCTAAGAGCCAAGCGCGAGGCATGCAACAGATGCAAACACATTCTTGGTTCAGGTGGTACAGGTATATATGGTCCCATCGTCTGTCTCAGTACCACACTCTCATACTCCCATGGCTACCCCCGCATCCCTCCCACAGAAAAAACACTACGAGCCTGCCCTTCCTCTGCCCTCCCCTTGCCCCTATCTTCCTGCCAACCCATCCCAAACAATGCCCGATACTAATCTAATCTTGCCCTGCTATACTTGTTGTACTTTCTATGCTGCTAATTAAGATACCTAGGTACCAATACTGCAATATCTCGCATAGTAGTACCTGCAAACTAGTCTAATGCATGCTGCATGCCCTGATGCAGCCTGTACATTGCTAATATCATACCTAAGAATATATACCAATAATATAACCTTTATAGTCTATAACCAAATATCTATGTCACGCACACAAATATAAATATATATATATATATACACACCTAATACATTACCCATTGCATGCCTACATTCAAGCTATATTTTGCTCATATCGTACCTATAGACCTGACACTACATACCTAATATTCAGCCTATAACACCTGATATATATACCTAATATACTACCTATTGAACTATTGCATGCTTATATACAACCTATATATTGCTTGTAGCGTACCTCTAACCTACTCGTGATTTTAGTTACCTGGTTACCTAGTATATACCTGATATAACAAAGTACATACCTAATACATCCTAATACCTATACACCTGTATGCAAACTGTATATTGTACATTAATTATTATACTATATGTTCAAGTTACATCTAATATCTATTGATTACCAACTTACATAAGCCCCCCCCCACCACAGCCACTACCACAGGGGGAAGGAAGGGTATCCCACGGGGTGGGGGGTTGCAGGGCCTACTGCATATATATGTATATATACATAGATATGATATGAAACGATATGGTAATGATATTGATTTTGATACGGTATGATTTATATATATGCATATTCATATTGCATATTAATGCATACTATCCCTCCAAAAGTTGGGGGACCGCCATGATTGACCCGGGTGCCATAGCCGAGATTCCATCCACTTCGTTCTGACAGGAGGTCCAGGAGTAAGGCCCCACCACCGGGTTGCAAATGGTGGTGGAGAACATCTTGCTGTCTATGGGATCCACCAACTTATTCCTGGCCGTTGGAATCCTCCATCAACAGTGCGACGACTCACATTTCCACCTTTGGCATCCCATGATAATAATGATATAATAATGATATCCCGTGCCTCTCCAACGCCACGAAGTTCCGAAACATGGCCACCCTATAGACGAGCGCCGGCGAGGGAATTCCTCGTCCATCCTCTGGCACAAAGCCAGGTGTGTGAATGGGATTGTAAACGAAGGAGGCCCACGCATGTCCGACATCTTCATGTATCCAAGAAGTCCAGAGAAAGATTGTTCTGAGCACCCGCGTCATGGTCTCCACATTCAGAGGCGGTAGCTTTTGGAGCAGCTGCTGCAATTCCTCTTGGCTCATGCTCGTTTCTCGCCACTTGGAGATTGGCTTGTCTCCTTCTAAATCTCGGTCGCTGTTGAAAGATCCCCCTTGCATCCCTGCTATGGTCAAAGCCGCTACCGCTGGTGACTCCGTAGCAACCGTGGCAACGGGCGTGGTGAAGGCCTGGGTGATCAGGAATGGTCAGCTGTTCTCCGCCTTTGAAAGGCAGGCTTCAAGATCCGCTGGTTTACGGCACACACACACGCACATTGTAAGAATGTTGTACATAAAGCTACCTACTGGAATTATCTGGAACTTGGAAAACTGATGAAAGCTGAAGACCTCCTGAAGCCACACATAGCTTGAACTGAGCTGGCTTCTGGTACCGGAGCGGGGGCTGCAAGCGGTGCACCCAACTGGAAAGCCGGGCTTGGAAGGGCCTGGACCATGGGACTTGGCGCGATACGAAATTGACCTGAAACAACCAATGAGGCGGAAAGTGATCTATTTAGTTTTTTTTTTAGAATCGATTTTAAGTAGATATAGGTAGATGATTTCCATGATTTCAAACCATGTCCATTTTTTGAATGAAACTATGAGACATTATGAGACCATTTCCGGGCTACATTGTTCGAAGAATGGTGAAGTGATCGTTGGACGCGATGGCAACAAATCAATACAAATCAATCAAACAGGCTCTTGTTGCAGCCACAAACGAAGCAACTCTGTGCTATGTAAGACATGTAGTGTCAACCCTGGATGAACAAATTCCGTTGGTCATTAGGAGGTTGGCCCAAAACTGCCAATTAATTACTATCAAGATATGTAATGCCCCTGTCAGTGACCGCTACCATCATAAATCCGGGCTTAACATGACCAACTATGAAACCATGCCGGCACCATCCGGCACCTGAGTGGAGACGCCAGGTGGTCGAAGACTCAGTCTCTGCAGCTGATGGGCTACTTTGCTCAAGTTTTTTCCAACCTCAGCGTGATGGAATTGGAAGTCAGGTTGACATGTTCTAGCCCCGACCAAGGGGCATCTAGAGATAAGGTTTTCAGATATGATTGTAAACTTGTTCTTGTCTTCTTGAATATCAGTATGTGGCGGTTGATCTAAATTCTTTCATCTGCAAACGGCCATTCTTCGCGAATAATTATAAAAGTTACTTCTGCGAATCATTGCGAATCGTATATCAATATTTTCTGATCCTAATATCCTGCATTTGTTTTTCAGATGCTACAAGGTTTTGTGAGATGAAAATGCGGGTCACGTGTTAATCTAAGACAATGTTTAGGTTGAATAGAGAATCTAGAGGCGCCAATTGCTAGGCTTTTTCACTGCTCCATTTCAAATGTGTTGGGGCGAAATACCTGCCAACATCTGCCAACATTGAAATCAGGCCCCAGATGCGTTCGCGGCTTGTGCCTCTTCCTGGATGGGAAAAAGATGCTCGCGTGTCTGATGGTGGGGCGAATAGTGGTGAAATGTGAGACAGTATCTACCGCCCCTAAAAGGAAGCTTTAGGAAGAAGGTTATCTCTACCATATTCATCCATATTCATCCATATTCTATGTCCCCAGAGACTGGAACATTTTCCGGCTCGCTTTAAAAATCCGGGCTTGAGCTGGGTTTGGGCCCCAGAATGCCAACTCAGGACATTCACCATCATAACCGGCTACGTTGGACCTATGTTGGGTGGCCGTGTTCGTCTCAAAGAGAATCTCTTTTTGTAACTTATATCACTATAATATCACTATAATAATACTATATAATACTATATATCACTAACACTTTGCTCGGTTTTAAACACGTTCGCTGCAACCCCTACGTTGCTCCGCGTCGTATAATAGTACATAGCACATATATCATATATTACATCACATATAAGTCAGAGGGGGTGGCAAATTTGGATCCCTTAGGAAGATAAGTTGATGTAATGATCCCTGTCAACGTAGTAGTCAGAGGGGGTGGCGGATTTTGATCCCTCAACAAGATAAGTTAATGTTCTTATTATCATCAACATATAAGTCAGAGGGGGTGGCAAATTTTGATCCCTTTATGAAGACAAGTTGATGTTATGATCCCTGTCAACGTAGTAGTCAGAGGGGGTGGTGGATTTTGATCCCTCAACAAGATAAGTTAATGTTCTTATTATCACCAACAGATAAGTCAGAGGGGGTGGCAATTTTTGATCCCTTAGGAAGATAAGTTGATGTAATGATCCCTGTCAACGTAGTAGTCGGAGGGGGTGGCGGATTTTGATCCCTCAACAAGATAAGTTCATGTTCTTATTATCATCAACATATAAGTCAGAGGGGGTGGCAAATTTTGATCTCTTTATGAAGATAAGTTGAGGATATGGATTGGATCCTTTGGATCATTCCCCCATTCCCTATCAAGCACCATATAGATGATGATGAAGATGATGAAGATGATGAAGATGATGATGATGATGATGATGATTCTCTTGAGGTGTGGAGCAACGTCCGGGTTGGAGGGAACACGCTTTATGTGGTTTTGAAAACATCATGGAAACATCCGTATCTTATCTCAATATTGCTCCATAGCTGGTTCCATCAATTTCCATCATCCGTGCAACTCATTGGGCCTGCAGCTGGTTCATTCTTCCGCCTAATTTGTTGATGCCTGTGATGCTCGCTGTCACCTGGGACCACTATGGACCACTGGGATCAAACAGAGAACTGCCAGGAGAACTGCCTGGGGAATGATGGGAGATTCTTCCATCATTCTGGTGCAACAAACGGAGAACCGGTCACTAATGTCACTAATCACATCATCTGGAAATAATTTTTTTGCAACCGGTTCTCCATAATTCTCCAATGAAAGCCGATCTGACTCGACCTGTTGGAATGGCCTCCAACAAAACACGAGGCCCCCTGTTGACCGCCCCATCGCCCCAACAACAAAAAACACAACAACGCAACCATATCACGCGGTCACCGAAGTGTGGAATGATTTAAAGCATTTGAAGAAGACATGCTGAAACAGCTAAATATCTTACAAACTCGGCACAGCAAAACTGATTCTCCGCTTAGTCTTAGTCGAGTCGGCCCGAGGCACGTTGAAGCCAGCGGATTCATCCTGCGGGGGGCCGGCGATGATATCAACCGACCTAGGGCTACTGAAAACAAGCAATCCTGTGGCCTGCTGTCGCCTGTGACCTGTTTGATTCTTTTTTGCACTTTCCCCAGAACTTCTTTGGCCACGGCTACATCCGCTACATGCGACTAGGGTCAGGAGCACCACTTTTCCCCCACAAATTTTCCACTTCTCAGCTCATTGGAATTTGACTGAGCATTTCACAGGTGACTAGGGGTAATTCTTTTTCAGTGGCACCCCATGGCACCATTGATTCCATTGATTCAATTGCATGGCACTGGTCTGACTGGTCAAACTTGATTTAAATTGCATGGTCAAATGACCAAAATCTGTGGCACAGCCTGCAGGGCGTTCAAATGGCTGGCCAACTTGTCGATGCTGCCAGACACCTTGATCGGTGATGCCACACCGGCAGCAAGAATTCCCCAAGCTGTCCTGTGAATTCATGGGCACCTTACAAATATATAAAAATAAAACACCACAGGTAACCTCCGAATGGGGATAGGTCAAAATGATTTCAGATCCTGCAGGGCAAAGGCATCAACGGCATCAAAGCTCAACAAGGGGCTTTCAGCAGATGCTGAAAGCCCCAGGTTTCGCACAACTGAAATTCCCTGGAATACCCTGGGCATCCCCACATTGAACGACTTTGCCTTCACCTTGCAGATTTTTGGTGTCCAAACATGACAAATGCTTCACCCCTTTTCTGTGCGTTCTGTTGCGGGACAGGATGTAGAACCCCCTGTTGTATCTTGTTCTCTTATGGTCACAAACCTGAATTTGCACGTGATGGAAACCAGGCAAAACCTGCCCATGGATTACCCAAATGCCTGGAGCTTTTCCATCTTCTGGGCAAGAGATTTGAGGCTGTCCGAAGCCTGACTGCTGAAGAGCAAATCGCAATTGACATGTCGGGTTTGAAGGGAAAAGCGCATGTCTGTAGACGTTTTTCTCTACACATCTTCTTTGAACAATACTTGCAAGTATAACTAAAACCATCGAACACAACAACATCTATCGTTTTTCACACACTCCAGGACTTCGACGCTTTACATCAGTTTTTCATCAGTTTTCATCAGTTTTTCATCAGTTTTCAGACCTTTCCATTCCCTTCTCAGCTTCGGACATCAATGGCCTGCGAGGTGTCTTTTTGCAAGGCACCCACCGTCTGGGCCAGGCGATGGAGGCCTCCGGTCACCTGGAGAATTTTTCCCCAAACAGTGTACTGTTAGGGGTTCTTAATGCTTTCTAAGGTGTCCGCCTTGGTGTTGGATGGTGTGTCCGCCTTCCCGAGGGTCTTGTCTCCCCTTGTCTCCCACTGTCTCCCCACATGTGTGCCTGTATTGGATGGTGTGTCCGGGTCTTGTCTCCCCTTGTCTCCCCTTGTCTCCCACTGTCTCCCACTGTCTCCATGTGTGCTGTTGCCTTGTCTCCCACTGTCTACCCACATATGTGCCTGTATTGGATGTCCGCCTTCCCGCGGGTCTTGTCTCCCCTTATCTCCCCTTGTCTCCCCTTGTCTCCCCCTGTCTCCCACTGTCTCCCACTGTCTCCCCACATGTGTGCTGTTGGATGGTGTGTCCGCCTTCCCGAGGGTCTTGTCTCCCTTCTCTCCCCTTGTCTCCCGCTGTCTCCCACTGTCTCCCCACATGGGCGCGTGTGTTGGATGGTGTGTCCGCCTTCCCGAGGGTCTTGTCTCCCCTTGTCTCCCCTTGTCTCCCCACATGTGTGCCTGTATTGGATGGTGTGTCCGCCTTCCCGAGGGTCTTGTCTCCCCTTGTATACCCTTGTATCCCCTTGTCTCCCACTGTCTCCGACTGTCTTCCCACATGTGTGCTGTTGCCTTGTCTCCCACTGTCTCTCCACATATGGGCCTGTATTGGATGGTGTGTCCGCCTTCCCGCGGGTCTTGTCTCCCCTTGTCTCCCCTTGTCTCCCACTGTCTCCCACTGTCTCCCCACATGTGTGCCTGTATTGGATGGTGTGTCCG